GAGCAATCTGTAGAGCTGGAAGCTCAGAACCGGCGACTTTCTAGTACAACTTTAGTACGCGGAGCAATCTGTAGAGCTGGAAGCTGAGAACTGGCGACTTTCTAGTACAACTTTAGTACGCGGAGCAATCTGTGAGCTGGAAGCTGAGAACTGGCGACTTTGTAGTACAACTTTAGTGCGCGGAGTATCTGGCGAGCTGGACGATGAGAACTGGCGACTTTGTAGTACAACTTTAGTACGCGGAGTATCTGTGGAGCTGGAAGCTGAGAACTGGCAACTTTCTGGTACAACTTTAGCACGCGGAACAACCTGTGGAGCTGGAAGCTGTAGTACAAGTGTAGTACGCGGAGGAGTCATCTCTCGCTGCTGAGTCATCTCTCCGGCGTGCAGGTTTGGCACAGTTCATACTGATAGTATTTGGTTGCATTTATGCAGGACAAAAACTGCTGGTCAATACAACTGCTGGTCAATACACCACTCATCATACACCACTCATCATACACCACTCGTCATACACCACTCATCATACACCACTCGTCATACACCCCTCTTGTCGTGGCAAAGATACAACCCAGTACGCTGTTGTGAGCTGCTGATCCTGCAGGGGGCACAAGTCCGGAGCGCGTGCGTTTGACTGGAGGACGCGCATGTTGGAGAGAACGTGGACACTCCTATAGGTCAGTTTGTTCTTATAGGAAACTTCCGCCGCCGGCTTGCCCGGGAACTGCTTGTATGGTGGAAAGCGATGCCTGTCAGCCTCCCACCGTGCCACTTCATGTTCCTGGCAGTGATGTAGTCCTGCGGGTCGCCTCCCTGGACTTGACCTTGGTCGGGAAGTTGTCAACGTAGGCAAGTGGCAACCCGGCCTGAGGTCCCATCCCGGCAACAGGAGGGCCTTGCCATCAACATCACCAGACAGCTGTAAAGGTTGACAAGCGTTCCATTCGCCTCCAGAACTCTCGCCTGCTAGGACCCCAGGCCCTTCCGAGAGCTCCCATGTCACAGAGTATAGGCGTGGCCGAACACAGAGCGACATTCCTTTGGCATCAATGCGGAAAGGTGTACGGCCAAACTCTCGACTCATGATCTCTCTGCCTTCAAGACTCATTGAGGCCACATTCTCAATGAGCTCGTGAACTTGGGCCCAGGGGAACGCTTCCCGAAACAACTGGGTGATTCGAGGTACCTCTTACTCCTCTCATCGCATAGTGCGCCCTTGCGGTCAGCGTTCAGACCACTCACCCCTTGGCAGGGGGGACCAGCGCCCACCAGCACCAGCACCACATTGCTGTATTGCAGAGCTAATGCCTGCACCTGCTCACTCCCCAAGGCCGTCACTTCCTCATGGAATTCGGTCTCGGGGAAGAAGCTCTCTACGACTCGGCAACACTTGGGGTCCATCTCAATAGTAACATGTCCAGCCATTGGTAGTCCCACAACATCACAAGCCACCCGCAGGGTTCGGATCCCATCAAAGAGCCCCACGCTGAGGACCTGCACCAAGTCGTGTTCTTCTGGAAGATCACCTCGAGCCGGGCAGTTGGCAGCTGCCATGCCGTAGGACGTGAGCCCCACTGAGGCACAAAGCCCTCCTCCAGTGGTGGAGGCATCAGAGACCGTCACTTCCCCATCCACTGGCACTCTGAAGTCAATCTGGGCTAAAGGACTCAATACAATGAATCGTGCGATCTCCACCTTGACCTGTTTGGGCAGTGGCAATCGCACCTCTTCATATGCTCAAAAACACCGTTCAATCTGGAAAGAAGTGGACGCCGGAAAATAGCAATGTACACAAATCCGCCACACACGACTTGAAGCTCCCGGAGGGTCGACTGCCCCCTGACCAGGAGTTCAAATCCCAACTTGCAGTATTGGATCAGCTTTTGAGGTTTGGGCATGGCACACCCCAGCTCGCCATCAAGCAGCGCTCCCTGCATCTCACCCTGCGTTACTCGTTCAGCAGCCTTCTTGGGATGCCGAGGCAGACCAAGTTCCTCGTAGCATTGCCTCAGCTGCTCAACTTGTGGAGAAACGGTTCCCTTGATCTCGCCAGCCAACTGGCAGTCCACACGCTCCAAGGCATCAAAGTTGTCCAAATATACCCTGTACAGGTTGAGAGCTGATGACATGGGTCTGTCTTTTCGCACTTCACCTTCAGCTCCCACATAGTTGTCACCGGACATCGAACTCCATCGCACCACATTGCGGTGAACGTATGTCTTCACTGGACAGAAGCGCCACCTCCCCTTGATCCAGGAGGTATCCATTCATCCCTGAGATAGCGGGAAGCGTCCCTACGTCTCCCGTCAAGCTGAGTTGACTGGGACCAAATTCATGATCAGCCGTTGAGCCTCCAGCGTGCCCTTGAACTGCCTACCGAGAACAGCCCATTGAGCAATGGAGAACCATCAATGTGATGTAGGTGATCTATCGGCCAGATCTCACAAACCCCCTTGCTCACCAGTCCAGCACAGATGTCTGGCCACTGAATCACTGCACATGACTCGTGGAGGCTTGGGCCTAACTTGTACATCCTTGGGGACCAGGTATCTTTCAAAGTTGTTCACGTACTCCAAGGTGCCCAATCGACAGAACTTGTCAAGAGGCAAGCTGCCTACTCCAGCTGGGAGCTACTCTTGGATAGCCGCCCACGACATTCGTTGCGCAATCTTAATTTCCTCCCCCATATAGTCAACTTTTCTTTTCATGAAAAAGCTATCAAAACAAACCCCCGTGTCCGTTTCAAACCAACAGCGATTTCGACTCACGACGGCCGCCAGCCTTTTTTCAATTGGTGCCTGCCAGGTCGTTGAGCAAGGCGTGGTCACCTTCGAAGAACTGCTGCCCTCCAGCCGTACGTCAGCGCTAACGAATCCAGCCAAATGATTCAAGCCGCGGCATACGCTTGAGAGCACTGAGCCAAGCAAGCGGGTGGCCGGACTCGAGAACAGCAGCCCAATGCGATGAATCCACCGGCAGCGGAAACAATGGTGCGTTGGGTACCATCTCGAGGTCCTTGTTGGAGCGCCTTGTCATGGAGTGCTCGTCATTCCGCAACAGGCCAGCCGCTCGCTGGAAGATGATATGCAAGCCAGGTAAAACCCCACTCTCCGTCTTCTCGACTGCGTGGTTGGCTCACCCTCGAATTCAATCTCGCTTGACCTCAGGCCGTCGGGCCTCACAGCTGCCTCCTCTTCGGGAGTAGCCGGATCTTCATCCATCTCAACCACCAGGAGAGGTTCACCCTCCGGCTCCTCCCAGCCTCACTGCGCCTTCTTCTTGCCATCGCCCTTGTCTTTCTTTCCCTTCTCGCCTTTGGTCTCTGACCGCTCCTCCTTCCATTTGCTCTTGCCTCCCTTGTCCTTGCCTTTGGGCCGCTCCCACGCAGAACTGCTGGCCCGATGCATCACCTTGGCCTCCTGGTGCGCCGCTTGGCCTGCCAAGTTCACCTCGGTGTTGGAGGCCAAGCCCTCCAGGCTTTTCAGCCTTTGGCACATCACGTCCAACGCCGAGGAAACTCTCCCCTCCAACAACATGTCCATCGTTGCAGCCCAATGCAACGCCTCCCGCGCTACCGGGGGGCTCATATTTTGACATAGCTGTTGCCGGCAATACTGCAGAATGATGGGCTTCACTCCCGCGGCTTTGTCTCCTCTCCGCCTTTCCCAGGAGATCTTCGACGGCCACCTCGGCCTTGTGAGCGTCTCCTCGACCTTTGCCTCTTTCTGCCGCCTTGAGGCGCTCGGCATGGAAGTTCGTGTCGCCAAGTCAGGTTTGAACAGGGCTTGTCGCACAGATGCACCTGAAGTTCCTTCCGAGTTCGCCCACTGATGAACTTCAGGATGCTTTCGGTGGACGTTCCATGGGTGCGTAAGGTCACCCACGCTCCGTCCTCCCCCATCAACATGCCTGAAATCTCTCCCACGACTTCGGCCTCGCTCTCCCAATACTGCCCCTGGATGTGCACCACCTTCAGTCCTCGAAGTGTCTTCAGCTCTATGTCCTCGGCTCGAATCCACCCGTCCCCAGGTGGATCTTCTGCGGCAGGCCTTGCTCTGACTCTCCTCCTGCCAAGCTCTGCTGCGGGCCGTCTCATCCTCTTCGGCGCAATGTGGGATCAATGCTCTTCTGATACTTGAATTCTCTGTCCCTCGCCTTCTTTTTGAGCCCTTTGTTTCTCTTTCTCTTTCTGCCTTTTCCTTTGGCCTGCGGCCAAAAGGCCTGGCGTCGGGGAGCCAGGATGGGTCCCTTCCAGTCAAACCCCGACCGATGACTGGGCTTTGGTCTCTTCCTCGATGGTGCGGGATGTGGAATGGGCTCGGCCAATTCCTCGTACTCGGAGATTGTCTCACCTCCAGGGGCCTCCTCCGCCCCCGCTTCTTCTTCCGCGGGAGCCTCAACCTCCTCCTTCTTGACTCGCCTCCCCTTGCCCCTCGACCGACTCCGGGAGGGCGTTCTCGGATCGCGTGTGGAGGGCTTCGATGTAGCTGCAATCCAAAGGCCTGTGGATCGCTGGCTGCTGCTCTGTCCTTCTCCTCAGTGGTCACCTCCTGCTCGAAGACCTCAGTCTTCTCTCTTGAACCAGCGCGGTCACGATCTCCAGACTCAGGGGTGTCCTTGCTGACACTGGCCTCTTCCTTGGGCCGCTTCCGGCATGCCAGGGAGGTCTACTTTCCTTCCCCGATTCTGTCACGCCACCTGTGGGGGCTGTCTCCTCCTTCTTGACCTCAACTGGTGCTGAAGATGATGCCGGGGCTTCCTGCTTCTCTTCTTCGCTGGGCTCTGCTTTCGCCGCCTCAGCCGGTGCTCGAGTTAGACCTTCAGGTCGCTCGCCACCACCTCCTCCAGGAGCTTGGGCCATCAACTCCCTTAAGCCACGACACTGCGGTTAAAAGTGTTGGGTCTCTCGTTTTTACTTACGATGCGAAACCCATGTGTGTGTGTGTAATTATGTGAGTACTGTATATTATCTGACTCGGACCTGCGCTCTGCCAAGAGGCTTGTCAAACTCGCGAATTGTTCCTTTAAGGCCGAAGTAGATCTTGGCCTCCTGAGCGGCAGGGTTGGATTGTGCCACCACTGTCGTGAACAAAAGGCTCAGAAGCTCCTTCTTCAGGAACAGCGTCATCGAATCAGCAGTCACGGGTCCAGTATACTCGATATCCGCACCACCATTGGCCGGGAAGAAGCGATATTTGGGAAAGATGTTGTCCATGTCACCTGAGGATCTTACACGTGATGCTTCAAAGACCTGGCTTTAGCTCACTCTCTGGGGTATAGTGGGACGTCAGGATTGTCACAATCATGCGGCCGCAGAACTGTATTCCAGATCTTTGTCTGGCGATTTGTAGCCAAACCTTTCCGCCAGATCCTGAAACAAAGCCATCCCTTCTGCTCCAGCAAGCTTGCAGTGTTGCGATCAATGAACTTCAAACGGATTGGTAGCAGTGGCGCCTGATTCATCTTCTCACCATAGGTGGAGATGCCAACTGTGCCAATCAGGACCTCACACCAAGAATACATCAGAAAGCAGCAAAATGAAAAAGCAAAAGCAAATCAAATCAAGTAAGTAGTAAATCAATCCTGTCCTAATCATTTTCACTCCCACCTGGGCACCTACTGCAGTCTGCGCCACCGCCTTGAAGGCGTCAGCCTTCGGGACTTTGAGTTCCGGCAAGAAAGAGGACAGAGTGGCACAAAGTGCTTTCAGTTTGGCTGTTGGCGCTCATGGGGCACATGAGTGCAACAACTGTGGGCACATGGGAGTGTTTTGCCTGGAGCTAGTGCACACAATAGTGTGCCAATCACACACAGCCGACCTCTAGCTACATGGTTTATGTATGTTCATCTTACATTACAAGTCGACTGGGTTTCCAATGGATGCAGCTCACCTTCTCGCCATAGGGGTAATCCCGGTCAAAGCGAACAAATGCAGGAAGGCTGTGGCCGGTTAGCAGCTTGAGAGTGTTGTTGTCCAAGTTAACGATATTGTAGTCTGCCGCCTGGTAGGATCAAGAGAATCAACCCAAGACTACACGACGGCAAGGAACATACATGGCACAAGTGCACTGCGCGTCCACTGGCAGCAAAACGCAAATCCAACTACAAAACTCGATGGTGAGCTACTTTTTGCTTTGCGTAACAGTCTTCGATAGTGACTGGTTGTTTCAATCAGCAATCGAAGGCAAGAGTTGTGTTAAGCAGCTTGTGAAGGAGTGACTACGTGAAGTAAGGAGTCACTGAGAAATGAGAAAGCTTTCACACTGCGGTCTTCAGAAGGTTGCGCTGCAGGCCTGGGCCACAAGGGCTAGAAATGGCAGAAGCTTCAGGGCCATGGCCAGTGTCCCTGCCCTACCAGGCTGAGCCGGGGTCTCATGCAAAAAGCAAAGGCGCTCCTCGATCCCTAGTTGGAATCCTTCTCTTCACAGCTCTCGGTTCACCTGCATCCCTTGCTTAGCGGGGTGCAACGCACACGTCTCAAACTGAATGGCACTTTGATCTTCAACTGAGCTTCTCTCACTGTGCACTGAAGCAATGTGAAACGCAAAGCTGCTAAAGCAAGCTTCAAAAGAAAGTCAACCTTCCTCGCGAGGCTGAAGGGCTGGCTAACACACGCACTCTCACTCCATGCGCACCAAGCGTGCGTCACTGGCCAAACGCTGCTGCTTCCAAAAGCAATACAGTTGCGATTGCGCCTGACACACTGCAAGGAGAAAGACTTGAGATATGCCGAAGCATCAGAAGCACTTGTAGGGCAAACTCGTTCCTCTCCGGAACTGTGACTTGACACGTCCCATTTAGCAGCGCCTCACTAGACTGTGAATATCTTCTGTTCCGACCGGCCGTGGTTCTGCAATTGCAACGTGCATATACAATCCTTGCTCGAGGGCTCAACTGCTACCTTGGACAAAGGAAAGCCATGACATAGTGCTGGAACTGGAAGGGCTGACTAGCTGTGCAGATCTCCAAATCTCACCTGACCCGTGCAGCCGAAGGGACACAGTCATGCGGCCGAGCACAAGAATCCGCAGACACTGGCGCAACCTGGAGCTGTTGCTCCAAGGAATTCCACCACCTTGGCCGTGTTCAAAGATTGCACCCACATTCCACCCACCAAAAGCCAAAAACAAACAGCTTCTTACCCACCCTGGAGCGGTGCTAAATTGCGGTGAGGCACACCCCTCCTAATTACAAATTGCATTGGATTACACCAGGACCCGTACAGGCCACAATGAGACGTACTGTTGCGGTCCACCACCGCTGTAGGGCTACAGTAAGCATTACAATGGGATGGGGCACTCCTCCAAGAGTGCCAATATAGTTGCGTCGTCATTGCAACATCAGCATTCAACCTGCCCTCTTGTGCAAATGCAGTTTCGTGCATCCAGACTGCTGAAGTACATCCTCATCTGTGGCATTGCGGCTTGCACGCCTTGGACTAGCTTGCAGGTTTTGGAAAGAGTTCATCAAAAATAATGCCTCATATCCAAGAGCCAAAGGCTGAACTGAACAAGCTGAGTCACACAGCAGCGGCTTGTTGCCATACAGCCTCGAAGCTGGCCACTGCTCCGCTGCTTACCTCATGTGCTATGCTGTACAAGAGGTTCAGTGGCACTGCCAAGAAGGTGGGAGCTTGCAGCGAGGGCACAAAAAGAATCAGGTCTGGCACGGGAAAGTGGCTATTGCCAAGTGGAGATGACTGTTCAGGTAATTCTACAAATGGCTAATCGAATCTGCCTTCATATCCAATTGCAAGGTATCAAGTATCATGCTCATGATGAACATGATTTCTTCCTCTCCTTCCTCTCCTTCTTCTTGTTCTCCTCCTCCGCCTCCTCCCGCTTCTTCTTCTTCTTCTCCTCCTCCTCCTCTCCTGCTTCTTCTTCTTCTTCTTCCTCTTCCTCTTCCTCTTCCTCTTCCTCTTCCTCTTCCTCTTCTTCCTTCTCTTCTTCTTCTTCTTCCTCTTCTTCCTCTCTTCCTCTTCTTCTTCTTCTTCTTCTTCTTCTTCTTCTTCTTATTCTTATTCTTTTTCCTTGTGTTTTTTCTTGTCAAATGCAGCCATCGCTAAGAAATATGCATCTGGACAACATGGTAGATTTTAAGAGAAAAGACAGGCCTGCAGCAACCCGCATATCAATCAAAGGCTCCGAGGCATTGGTAGTCATCACTATGTTGGATGGATCAGCAATGCGACGATTGACTCAGCTGCTGCTGGCCGCGTTTGCAGAGACACCAGAAAAGAAAACATCTGACTGATCATTTTAGTTGCACCCTGAAGGACAGAAATAGCAGCAAACACGTCTGGTTCAAATAAGTGACGCTTGTAAAGCGCACGAAGCTTCCTGAGCACTCGTTGCCCGCGCAGAGCGACCCACCCATGATATCCCAGCAAAACAGTACCAGTCAGAAAAAGTCATGCCTGTTCAACTAGATGGACCTGGCGCTTCTCACAAAGTCAGCCCAGCTGCATTTGTTGAGGACGAGGTTTTACAATGCCGACACCGAAGGCCCAGAACCTGAAATAAGATCCGGCAGCCAGTCATGCTCGTCATGCTTGTGAGCTCAAGGTTGTTGGATACTGCAATCCTCTGCAATTTGGACACTGAATTGCAAATCTGGAACAAAAGTCAACAACCAAGGGTTGAGCCATTCACTAGAATCACAGGTGATGCTGTAGCAACTTACGAAATGGCTTGGTCATAGTTCACAACCTGCTCCTTTTTCCAATACTGAGATTGCGCTAGCCACTGGCGGCTAACTCATGCAACTGTCATCAATGCATCAAGCCAATCTATTGTTGGAACCATTCCACTTTGCAGCCAGGGTGGCAGGGGCCACTTGAATCGCTGGGAGATCTTCCGCACTTCTTGGCCATCCTTTGTGCCAAAAAGAGTGTCGAAGTTGCCAATGCCGAATTTCACCACCTGAGGGTTGGAGTGTCACAGCGCCTTTCTTGTATACACCACCGTATCTCACCTTCTGCCAATCCAAAAACTAACTCTGAGTTGAGGCCTCTGGCAAACGAGGATTGGCCATAATGTTTGACTCCTCGGCCATCGTCTGCAATTGCTAGTGGAGCAAGGTGTTTGGTTTATCTTATATAATGTGCACGTGCAGGGCTTGCACGCAAAGAATACAAGTTAAAGTTAGAACCACATGAGATGTCCACATACCTATGCCACCACATGCCACAAGCACACATCCAACACAAATGTTTGAGGAAGCATTGTCAGCAAAGCTAGGTGTTCAGAGCTGAACCAGCACCCAGCTGTTGCGCCTGAGTCCAGTCCCAGACTCTGGCAACCGAGACCTGAAACACAAATGCCTCCAAAACAAACCAGTGTCAGTGTGCACTCCGAGAGTCCATGTAGCCGCCCAAAGATCTCAAGTCCAACGCAGGCACATCCTTCTCGAGACGTGATCCGGAGAAGCTCCAAGACAGGGTCACGAAGCACGAATCATGCTCAGGGTCAGGGATTAAAGTCACAAATGAGGGAGGAGGGAGCCGTGGTTCTAGAAAAGAGCATACCTTTTGCGAGCCACCCAATGGTAAGATTTAGAGGAGGAAGAAGCCATGGAAACGTCGCATACCTTTTGTGAGCCACCCGAGGGTAAAATTAAGTGGAAGAAGGAAGCAAGGAGACGTAGGATACCTTGTGTGAGCCATTCGAGGGTAAAATTTAGAGGAGGGAGGAGCAATTCCAACGTAACGCATACCTGCTGTGAGTCGCCAGAGGGAAAGATTTGGTGTACTTGAGGCCAAGGGGGGGGCGAAAGCTAGCGCTCCAGAATGGGAAAGTGGAGGGCAGCGAGGTAGGAAAAAACACGGCGCTCTTTTTGGAGGCAGGGGTGAAGAGTCCTTTATATGTGGCTCTTTGCCCGGATCCTCCTGCGAGAGAAGAGAGAGAAGAGAGACGGAAAGACGAGAGACAGAGAGGAGAGAGAGAGAGAGGAGAGAGAGATGAGAGAGATGAGAAAGAGATGAGAGAGATGAGAGAGATGAGAGAGACAGTGAGACAGTGAGACAGTGAGAGAGTGAGAGTGAGAGTGAGAGTGAGCGAGTGCGGCCGCAAGATACGCAACGCTAACCGCATGCCAAAGAGCGACGACAGGACGGAGTCGAACTTGCGAAGAGGGAGGAGGGAGGGAGGGAAGATGGGAGGAAGACAAGGAGGAGGAGAGGGGGGGAGGAGAGGGGGGGAGGTGGGGAGAGGGGAGGTGGGGAGAGGGGAGGGGGGGGGGGGTCTTCGACCTGAAAAATCAGGGGTTAGGATTTGCACCCGGTCGAAAGAAACCTTGCTATCGCAAGAGTAACTCCAGCTAGCTTCGCTAGCTTTCGTGATAAAGCATAGGTTGACGCGTAGCGTTCCTTTTGTGAGCACAGGGAAGGGCATGCAAGCGGAACATGCCTTTTGTGAGCCACCCGGAATATAAATGTTGCTGAGAAGAAAGGTAGCAGGCATCGCTTCTATGTGCCACCCGAGATTCCAAATCTAGAGTTAGAGCAGGAAATCATAAAACTGTAAAAATTACAGGAGGAAGGCGTGATGGAAACGGAACATGCCCAGCCACACAAGCAGGCTCTAGCGTGTCTGAGGGAACTACAATCTATTTGTATATGTGTGTTCGCATCTATCATCTATGTGTTCAGGACATGCAGGTAATAAATAAACTTGAGACAATGTTCATCCTGCATGTTCTAGGGAGGCCTCGCTTTTGGGGAGGATCCGTCACTTCCCTGCGTTTTGTTGCACATTCTTAAGATTGAAGGTGGGTCTTCCGCTCTTCATTCCATGGTGCGACGGTTGCTCACATGAATCATGAATCACATCACAAAAAAAATATATATATTACGCTGAAAATCAAGGAGCTTGTACGAATCATGAAACAAATCACCAATCACGCTACTGCATGGTAGCCATGGTGAATCACGCTGCTGCCATAGTACTGCACCATGAAACTCACCGTCAAAAGCGCCTCTCAGTTCCAGCCTGATAGTCTATCTTGGACATGCCGCTGCGGGTGTAGAGCTCCCGTGCTGTGTCCAAAATGGTTCGATTTGTGACACTGCTGTTGACTGGAGCCTGGTCATTGGCGACGACCGCCAGATTGTATATAGATATATGATGCTACTTACTAAAAACATATTGCAATCAAACTCGTGTTCGACATTACTCATGGACTAAGCCTTAGCGTCCGAAGCTTCAGCTTGCGGAATGCTTTTCCACCAAACGCTTTGCCCTGGTACAACCCTTATCTTACAACTACCGAGGCACTGCTAGATTTGGCAAGATCAAGTGGTCCAGGTAGTCCAGGGTACCTGGGAAAAACAAAGTGAAGAATCCATGTTCAGAAACTCTGATGTTGGCACAGGATGGAAGTCTGCCGTCTTCTGATGCTTATTGTCTCCGTTGCTCAGAACGAGTTCTAACCCGGCCAAGATACCGACAGGAAGATTTACTGGCCAGGCACTGCAGTTCAAGTGTGGCAAGAACTTCTTCATCTTGTGATGACCAGACATTTCAGGGCGCAAGCCTGGAGTGGTGGTGAAATGACAGACATGACGCCCCGAGATGTAGAGTGGCGAGGAAAGGCAACTGTGCTTCGCTCTCGCAAAGAAACCGCTTTTTGATATCGTGGCAATTGGTTCTTCTTCACTGTGTGAGAATGCCTCGAATTTCGGTCGAGGCGATGATACTTTGGGTCACTGATGAGAATCATGTGCAAATGACTAATACTAATACGCCCGGTACCCGTGCGATATGTGGTGCACAGAAACAGAGCGTCCGCCCCGCCGCGGACGCGCCCGGACATGGGTGGTGTTCACACCTTGACCCCAGTGCAAGTGACACCAAGGTTGACTCTGCGACGCGATTCAAAAAAGCAGCCATGTCGTCGTGACACTAAACTCTCCGAGCTGCACATCATTGTGTACAGGCCGGTGTCATATGGCGCAATGACGACCGAATCCTTCACACGGCTACCTGGGCGGTCTCATTCATCTTATTCAAGCTTTCCGACACTTCCCCGCAAAGACGTCTGCAGCATGGGCATTGCGGCAAGTGGCTGTTGAAAACCACGGTCAAGTCTCCGAAGAAAGGCTCGGACCCTGAATCCAACCGCCGCATGTTGTGCCTCATATCTCTGGAAGCATGGCATGCCAAAGAAACCGTTGGCTGCAAGTGCAAGTAATCCAGCACCTACCACATTCCAGTACCTACCTCTCCACTTCACATACTGTGCCTGTCATGTTGCGCAATGTAAATCAAACGACTGGAAGCTTCAGTCCACGTGGGCTTAGGTCCAGCAAACGGTTTGCAGCCAAAGATTTCCTTCGACAAATGTAACAGGAGGTTGCAACTCGTTGGTCTGTTGAGCACACGTGGTTGGTTTCCATTCATGAGCTTTTACTGAGCACATCCAACTTCACGTCTTTGCTGCCCACCTTCTGGGCAATATCATTGATAGGTGCAGCTCCTTCCGACATGCTCCTGCAGTTTGAGGTCCAATCTAGTGGATAGCGGATCTAGCACAATTTCACTCACAACGTGCACTTGTGTGACAAACTGGAGAGGTAAAAGGCTCAGGAAGCTGGGTTCAAGGGTCAAAGCACCTGACCTATTGTGCATCAACGCAACCTCGAACTCATTCGGAAACCAGGGCAACTCTCCCACCTGCACAAAAGAAATTGCCCGTCAAGACTGTGAAGAGTCGAATCGTGGTCACTCAGCTGTGAACCAGGCCTCGGTAGTTGTGACATCTGAGAAAACGCCTATGGACTCTCCAGGTGCCGGCAGCGCCTGAGTGTAGCCGGGCAAAAGGTGGAGAGACAAGCAAGGTCATCTCCAACAGCCACCCGATTTGCTTCAAGGAACTGCGGATTTCTACATAAGAAACGAGAACTCAAACAGTTACAAGTGCGTTACAAACTATTTGGGAAAGGCATTTTGGTCGAAAACTATTGAATCCCCTGAATCTATGGTATTAAAGTCGTGCAAAGACCAAGTCTAGCCGCATGCGCCAGCTCTGCCACTTGGGCCTCTGCCCTGTAGCGCTGCAGAAGCTCCTCTGCAGTCAGATTTGCCACTTCAGTGCAGCAGCCCTTCAGCATTTCACGGAAGCCAACCGAGTCAAAAAAGGACAAGACCTGTAGCGCCCAGGCCACAGAAGCAAAAGCTGCAGCACTTGCAACGCTTGATCTGTTTGATTCAGTTGGATCAAAAAATCAGAAAGGCTCCGGTGTGTTTATCGGTCTTGCACCTTCAATTGTTCAACCCTTATATACTATTATATACTGCTGTTCATGCTTCCGTCAAAATACAACCGCAGCTTGCACATCAAACTCCATCATGAAAGTGCTGCAAGGCACTTGAGGTGTGGCCGCCTCGCTTGCTGCCTTTGCCTTGGCTCTGGAGAGCTCAAGCACGCCTCGGCACAATTTCACATGTGGCCAGCGAAGCGGAATTGTGGCTTTTCAGGCAGGTCAGAATGCGACTAAAATATACTCCGACAATCTAGAATCTAGCGAGTGCAATTTGGATGATAGCTGCTAGCTCATGCGAATCAAGTTTCCATATACAGCAGCCCAACATTGCCCAGTCACTGACTTGGTCTTGTGTATGCTGTGGAGGCGTAGGAAACGGAGAGGCCAGCACCAAAGGCGCAAAAACCCCCCGCCACCATCTGGCAGCCACCATCAAATAGAAACAATCAATAAAGTTTATCTTATTTTATCTTACTCCTTGTTCACTTTGAGCCTCTAATACGCAGAGCGGGAGGACAACGCATGTTCATGCATGTTCATGCACCTCTTACCTGGTCATTAGCTAGATTGCTGCTGTCTGGGCACGTTCGGATTGCTATGCCGAGTGCAACGCCCTTCGAAGACCAAATCAACACCAAAGACTAATGCTGACAGCCAAGGTGAAGCTCGGTCGGTCAAAGAGCCAAAACCAAACACGCCATTTCTCCACTAGTCCAACAAGCGAGCAAAACTTGCAAGGTGCATGCACGCAAAAAGCAAAACCAAAGACTCCTTTGCGCCTTAGATCAGTAAGATCAGTTTCATTTTGTCTAAGCCCTGTCAGGAATGTAGAATCAATGATGATTCTGATGAGGTCTTTGCAAGCAAGAAGGCAAACCGAAGCAATGCAGGCACTGCGCCCAGAAATCCATCACGGCATTGATATGCAACAGGGTGCAGGGGACTTGGCAGCCCAAGCTCAGTCAGTGTGTCGACGGATCTGCAAAATATGCCTTTCGAGTTGCCAGCTCCCCTTCGGGACTCAGTCTTTGGCGTGCATCTTCTGCCTTAATGCCATTTAATGCCTGCATCCACCAAACACGCTGACAAAGCTTCTTCACACTTTCGGAACTCAAGACCCAAACTTTTGGCCGGCTCGTACAAAACGACGAATTGGGCTTCATTCTTCGGAAGAGCATCCCAAACTTTTTTGGATACTGTAATATAAAAAAGCGACAGCACGCTTCTGTCTTCTGCTTTGATTGTCAGGTGCTTCTCTGTCCCAAGTCATCTCGCAAAGTACCACATAATGGAGTTTCCTTGCCCACTGTCCACCGCCTATATGTTTGATGTCTGAAGTCAATCCCGCGAGGCTTGTGAACTCGGCTGACGTGGTAGATCATGAAATTGCGAAAGGCAAACCCTCCCTCCCTTGCAGTCTTGGTCTCAGCAAGTCACTGGTCACTGCTTACTAAATGCAGTGATCAAAATGACCCCGAGCAGCTGCAGCGCTTCTGCTGACCAATAGATCCTCAGATCGAAAGCGAATCACGTAGGGAGTGCAGAGTGGACACCTGCAGCGCTCAGTGCATTTCTTTCATTGGGCACCGAACCTGTCGCTACAACCCTTGCCGAGAACCAACCCAGGAGCTTGATAATACACCACATTCACCATGAATGGCAAGACAAGCGTCATCAGCTGACGCCTGCCAGATATTTCTTTGAACCAGCACATGGACATGATGCTTGCAATGATGATAGGGCCAACTGCATCAAGAGTGTAGCCGACCGCAAAGCCCAACCTTACACAAAATGACTTGTATTTTCAAAATTGGACAGTAACTACAAAAGCCCTTGACAAGAATGTCATGATTATTTTCGGACCCACTGACTTCCATTCCAACTCAGTGGCTCGTGAATTCCTTGGATCATGAAAATGAAGCCCACTGCCCAAAGGAAGCCGCTCAGCATTGCAGGACGGATCACTGCATGCAAGACTGGCTTTCGTCGAAGACGTGCGATGCCACCGTACAAAAGGTAGATCCCCTGAAAAAGGAAAAGAAAGCAATGGAAAATCAGACCCTGTCCGAAAGGAATTGCGAGGGGGAAGAAATAGTGGACACGGCAAAAGGCCCTTAGTCATAGTCACTTTGAGGCTTGTGTGCGCAGGGCAGTTGGCAATGGCACAAGGGTTCGGCAAAAAGAGAGCCCTGTGAATATAGCCAAGCTGCTGTAGAAGCAAACCAAGCTCCAAGACACTGTGGAAAGAATACTGCAGTTGTCGGATACTCAGGATGCTCCTCATTCCAAGTCGCAAAATCGTGCGTCTTGCTGCGGTGCAACTGTCCCACTCACAGTTCCAGAGTTGATCGACATCTACTTGCATGCCAAAATCCAATCCATACAGCGTTGCAGGCACACTTTGCACCCCAGTCAAACTTCCAGCCACCATTGCCTTCCAAGTTTGCAGGTGCAAAGCCAAATGTGGCACTTGAGCTTCGTCCACGCTTGCCTATCAGCCCTTGTCTGTGGGACCAAAAACTCCAAAGCACACAGCGAACAGGATGAATTCATGTAGAATTTCTACAAATCAAAGCAAGCCCTTCAATTCAATTGTCAATCAAAGACTGGAAGCAAAAAAGAAAAGAAATACAATACAATCCAATACGATATGTGTATATATATATGATTAACTACAGTATACTTACCGTATATATGTATGGTTGCTGGCACCAAGCCGGCCCGGAATCCGGCCCAAACCCCCACCCAAACCCCACGCCAGAAGAACGCCCAACGCAACTTTCCGCCATGTCTTCCTCGTGTTGCAACCACACTCAGTGTCTTATGCTGAAGGCATACATATGAAGGCTGCACTTGTTGTGTAAGCTCTTGGTTTTTAAGCTTCACTTTTCGGAGTACTACCAATCAAACTTGTGTACAGTCACTTCTTAACTCTGCCAGCTCTCCTCCTTTCCGTTTCTGCTTCTGGTGGTGCTGCATCAGGGCTGTGTGGTGCCTAACCGCTTGAGGCCAAAGCACTTTCCAAAATGTCTTCCATATTCATATAGTGGTTCTTATTGTCTACTTTCTGCGCAAGCTGTACTGAGTGATGTTGGCCTTTGGGGTGCCTACAGGTGTGACAGAGTCTTTCATAGAACTTTGAGTTAGTGCCGGTTAGTTAGCACACCTTTGGCACGAGAAAGAAAGAAAAAAAGTATGCTCCTGCTCGTCGTCTTCAACCTCTACAGCAAAGGCTGAGAATCCACTGGACTCTAAGAGACGCAAATTCCTGAGCCACCATGCATTCAGTACATGCCAAGTTTTGTCAATCATGCCGTTCCCTTTTGACCAAACAAGCTCCACCAACCCCGCGCCTGTCTAATGCAACTTCCTCCTCGTGCTGCTCTTCAATCTGATCAAGCTGACCCTTTCCATGGACCTCAAGTCACCATCAACAGCAAATCTCTGCTCTAGAATGTTCATAAGTTCATAGGTGTTTTTAGCATTCACATTGGATTCTTCTAGATTCTACTATGGTCTGCACAGCCGGGACGCTGAGGGTGCAGGGCCAGGCTCTTTCTCCTTCTCACTATCACTGCCTCTGCCCTCCACTAGAAGCAAACCAACCTTAGGCCCAGAAGGCTACAAGGAAACTGATTATGGGGATTGAGAGCAGACACTGAGCTCCTGACAAAAGACACCAAAACCAGCAAACAACCGAGGTCACAAACATACAAGCCTTGGCGGCTGCGCTGCCCCCCAGCATCTCGGCTTCGAAGCAAACACCAGCACAAAACATTGCACTCGTGAAACAGTCATGAATGCTCAGGCTGGCGGCTGCCTGCAAAGGCTGGCTGAAGCCTGGGCAGCCCAAAGAGGCCATTTCGGCCGACCAAGTATCCTGTCAATGAACTCACTTCAGTCCTTTCTCTGTGGGAGGACTTGTTGCTTGCTCCCCGCTTCCTCCCTTGCTTCCTCCCTCCCTCCCTACCTGCCTTCCTTCGTCGACCACCATCTTTCTCCATCTCCGTCTTTCATTGCTGTATTGTATTTGTCTGTCCCTGTCTGTTTGTCTTGCTTATGTGTCAACTTGCCTGTTTATACTATTTGGAGGTTAGAGTTCTGAAGACTTCTTTGACGACTTCTTTGACAATTCCACACACTGCCCCGTGGCCTACAATCATGTTCTGAAAGTGGTACAAGGAGAAGCCCAAGCCAATACCCAGAAGCTTGACTAGTGGCAGCACGGCCTGGGCTACAGTGGCTTCCAAGAAAGCCCGAAATCAGGCAAACTGAGCCAAGCGAACAAACTTGAAACCTGAAGGGCTACAATGACACATCTAACTCTCCCTGTTCCTGCCGACAAGGAGCAAAGTTTGACAGTGCCCAAATACCCCCACCCATGACCACAGAGGGCGGCACAGAATATTGGAGATCTCCATGCAGGAGCGCGACAGAAACGCCCACGAAGAGAATGCCCGAGCACATGAACCACCTGGGAAGGAATGCAGGCAATACTCAAGGAATCATAAGTGCATCGCTAGTAACCGTAAACAGGGCATTACTACTATCGGAACAAAAAAACTTCATGTCTGGCATCACTTGCGTCTAGGCTGCTGGAAGGTAGTGCCATCATAGATCCTGTTTCAGCAAAGGCGCTCCACACTGAATCAACATGCTAGTCTCTTTCTGAGACAAACCATTCAAAGGGGAGGTGCCGCTGGTTTAATGTCCGACGTCAAGGGAAGAATTGTAAAATATATAGCATAGGATGTACATGTTACATGTTACAGTAGATACATATCTGACATATCCACCGCAGGAACTTTGCGACCGCTTGGCACAACTTCAAGACTCTTGCCCCGCCGTTTATGCACCAAGCTGGAGGCCTCCTACTCTGAATGTGCTTTCAGTCATTGGGACGGTCCAAGGCGCTTGTATTTCTTCACCGGCACATATTGCAGACCAAAAGCGACTGCAGACAGAAGGGCTGGCAAAAGACCAGATAGTGCCATGGCTTGACTTGAATAATGTGACAGCAGCGACTCCTCTTAATGATAACCACTTCGGTCTACAAGGTAAATGGTCCATCACTTTCTTTCTTTAACTACGACCTAGTGGGCCTAGTCCACCAAAGCTGGGCGGAACATAAATTGACCAATCATGCCACCTTAGCAACAAGCAATGGCGGTGTTGCCTAAACGGATCAGTCGGAACCCGTGAAAGATTTTGTGGCAGCAGTCCTGGTAAACATGAAGGCTCAGCCGGTAATCGTGTTAGGTCTATCTTCGGTTTGAGCTCTGAACGCTGACCTTTCCAAGATCGCAACCCATTTTCCTGATGCATCTTTTCTTTCCCGCGTCGAGTCTCCAGGGCTCAGGAAGCCTTCCAAGCACAAATGGCAACCAGCAGTCGGTAGCAACAGGTAACGGAAGCCTAGCGGACAATCTCAAAAAGAAGTTGGAACATGTTGTGAACCCTTCTGAGGCAAGTACCACACCATTAGCCGCACCATGGCTTCACAAACACAAAGACCTCTCGCCTCTTCTATTTTCCCTCCGACCCTGAACGGCCTCCCGAAGCTTGGATATGGCCTGCTCACAGGAAGTAATGGCAGCCTGATGAGACAGTGGGGAGGTATCACAAGCGACGAATGGCAACAACCCATGTCAATCTAATTAAATTCCTAAGTGAGGCTACCACCGCTGGCAGTCATGGGCAGATTCGAAGAACATATGTGTGAATCTTGCGGCTTTTTCACATACCTTCTCCATACACCTGTGCGCTTCACAAGCCCGCGCGTGCCTCCATACCTAAGATGAGTCCAAAAACAGCACGTTTTCCGTTTTCCTATCAAAATTGTTCAAAGCTTTTGGCAGTGCACCGTTCATGGCTTTGATGAATTTAGACGATTTTAGGCACATCTATTTCAAAAGTCTCAATATTGGCAACTATCTCTCGCATCTTGGCACTACAAACTTGTGAAGCACTTGTACTGATATATTGAGGTCACTTCAGTACTACAAACTTGCGAAGGGCTTATTTACTTAGGTCACTTATATAGACTGACAAACACCAAGCACCTCCTCCAGCTCGAAACAGCTTTGGCATCACTTTTTCCGCTCAACTGGGGATCGCCAACCAAGAGGTGCTCAGCCGTCCATTGAGCGTCCCACCGCCGTGGAGCTGGAAGCCACCCTCCACAGTGCCAATCACGTCGTTGAGACGTTTGGTGATGGGCTTCGCGACGGGCCGATCCTGACGGTCCAGCAGCGTTAGCACCACGGTCCCTCTGGCCACCTTCTCAGTCCAGGGCAGCAGCCTCGGAATGAAGAACACAATGAAATCTCACCTGTTCCACCGCTTTGCGTGAAGAATTTCATATGCGTTTCAGCTGAGGTTCGGCTACATACTCCCACGTCCCTTAACCTGATAGTCGTACTAGCTGGCATCCTCTCCCTGGCATTTTTGAAACTGCTGATCAGACCATATCAGACCGCTTCCCCAGGACCTTAGCAGCTGAGCGACAAATACATCACTTGGTTGAACACAGGCTGTGTTGCACTCATCTCCTGGGTTGCTTCCTTCCGCGCGCGTGAGAAGCTCGAAGGACTGTGCTGGGCTAGTGCCAGCTTCACGGATTGAGGCTCCTGGCATACAGTGGCATTCTTGCTACAGCCAAGGGCAGTCAAGTAGCTGAACTGAATGCTCAGAACAGGTGTGTGCAGCGTGTATATATTCGGGTTGTTTGGTGGGGATATAGAGGCCATGGCTGGCGGCTGGCAGCCCTTAAGGCCAGCTCGTCCCATGCGCTGCTGTCACCGCTTTCCTGGTGTCAGGGTGCATGCGGCATTAACAATAGAACCCACATTTTGTATATATATATATATTATACACACACATATGGACACATATGTGTGTGTGTGCACGCGTGCCATTCAGCGTGGCTTCAAACAGCTATGTACAACGTATGTGGCTATGTGTGTGTACATATATATATATATATTTTATATATATATATAGTCAATAGAGTTATATATTGTTTAATGTATATATATATATACCTCTCTCTCTCTATCTATAAATATATATATATATATGCCAACCTTTGTAATAACTCTATATAGATCTAAATACACACACTCTATACATATATAGTGTATACGTGTTTGCCACATAGGTGCAGTGTCCAGGCTGGTGATCTCGGATATCTGCTGCAGGCTGTGGTTCGCGAGTTTCAAACGCCGTGCAATGTCTGCCACCTCCTCTGCCACAGGACGAATGTTGCCTTGGTCAGCCAGGCCCCAAACGAAGATCCTAAACCAGGCTCGGAGGCACTTTCTGGCTGCCCAAAAGCCAATTCAAATCAAGACAACCAAGACCAGGAATGGCTGCATGTTTGTCTTAAACTACGGCCTTTGCCATTGTGAAGGAGCTAAATGTTGTTCATCTGCTCATCAGCTGTTTACAACCAGCTAGCAATGTAACGTCTGCCATGTGCAAACAGTTTCTTCTGAGGCACTTGGAGGTGTGCTCTTCTTCGTCAGCAGCTGATGCCCATTGCAGGTGATTTTCACTTGAAATGGTGGTTTGTAGGTCTTGGGCAAGTTGCATATGCCTGCATTCAATTAGTGACTGTTCGTGGCCATGCTACGGCAAGTGCATCAGACATTATCTACGATGATCGGAACCATGTTTGCGTAGAATCCGTAGAATCATACAAGAAAATGTATGAAAATGTATTTTTTCTTTTCAGGCGTGCCTAAGAGCTTCACTACCAGCAACACCTGTGAGGGGCCCCTCGCTACAGCAGATGGAAAGCTGCGCGGGACAGCAGCGCTGAGCTCGAACCAACGTGCACCAACCGTGAGGCTGCCGGCTTCCTTGCCTAACGCGCAAAGACTGGCGAAGAAGCTACTAGTAAGATACCACCTTACTACTAGGAGCACGAAGCTACTAGTAGCGATGCACCTTGCTACTAGTAGTCTTGTTACTAGTAGTAATGCACCTTGCTACTAGTAGCGATGCACTTGTTACTAGTAGAGAAGTAACTTTGACCTGTCCTCCAAACTCAGACTGTAACTTGCTTTCAACCTTTGCGACCTGAGGCGCCTGGCCTTCGAAGAAGAGTGGCAAGACGAAGTCTTGCGGGGTCTTCGCATTCAAATATTGCTCTAGAACCACGCCCTTGGAAACTCCAAGCAAATCATCTTTACTGAAGCGGTCCTTCAAGGAGCAATTCTTGTGACCAGTACAGTGACCAGCATACATCCCGATGCAATACTGGTCTGCATACATGCGGCCTGGGGGTGGCTGTTTCTTGCCTTGTGTGCTCAGGTCAGAGATTCAGAAAGAAACTCCAAATAGAGAATACAGAAATAATGAGAGACCTTACCAAATCAAATGGCCACACAATACCTCGGAGTCATTTATCGAGCTACCATGACTTCTGACACTTTGACAGCTCAAGCGATGAGTGTGCCCAAGTCCTTGTCGAAAACCCATAAGTTTGCCTTTTGCCCCGGCTCATAGACCAAGAGATCCACGACATTACCATGCTCCCACACAGGATTCAGGCCTGAAGTCAAGGAGCACAGGATAAGCGTGCATATCAACAGCCACGCAGCAATATCAGGAGCCTTGCTTCGGAAAACGAAAGTCGTTCGTGACACCGGTGGGAGAAACAGAATCCCTCCAAGGCTCAGCTATCTAAAATGATCTGTCTGTACATGCTAATGACTGGCAGCAAATGCCAGCAAGATTCTTTTCTCAATCACACTTGACCTCCATTGCTGCTGTCCAACCTGGAATCCGTCAAAACATGCCGTTCACTTGCTCATTGCTGCTCTGTCTTGAAGTGTTCTATTCGCGTAGAAGCATCCCCGCCTCGATCATTACATAAGGGTCAGAGGAAGCCCCTGACAGCTTCAGGTCTGCCGCGCGCAAGCCCTTGGCGCTCTTAACCAAGACTCGCAGCACACCCTTGGGCGGCGGGTAACTCAGATCCGCCTTAGCAGCTGAGCAGAAACTTGTGTGGCGTTTCTTTCAATATCCCGATGCCTTTCACATCAGTACTGACCTGGCTGAGTGATATGCTGCGACTGTGTAGACTCCGGTTCCAACTTCCACATTCCAAATCATTGACAAGCACGCGGCCTGATCCGTATCATCATCCGGATTGAGATCCACGGCAATGCGAGCAGGCAACACTGCCAAGCCCCTTACTGCATCCAGGATTGTGGACCTTACCACCTGACGGAGCACCGGCAAATCCACAAAGTCAGCAGCGCCGGTGAAGTCCATGTCCAGCTCAGGTGGGTCAACAAAGAACACCGTGACACCAGCGAAGAAGGGCCTCGGGAGCATGGGAGAAGCGCTCAAAAATTGCCAACACAGGGGCCATCCCGAGAGACCTGCATGGCATCTCCAAGCTTCAGTCTGACTTATCCAAGATGCGGCTTCGAGGACACAGGGTGGAAAAGGACATTCAGCTGCCCCGATATGCTCAAGCGTTTCACGCCAATGGGAACCTCGTTGCAACAGTGACTTCCAATCTTGAAAGTAAAAGTAAATTACCCCGGCAAAGATAGGCTTACGCAAAGGCACCACCCTTGGTTGATGACCTACTGTAATTGTATATATAAAGCTCAGTGATTTTTGAAGTAAGCCATTCGACATGCAGCCTTGCCCTGCTGTGCTCACCTTCAGGGCCTTGATCTGCACATCCATGTCAGAGGCCATGTCGATGGTGACTTCCAAAAGGATGGCCTGGTGACTAGTGCATTTTTGCAATCATTACACTGCCTTTGCAACAACATTCATCTTTTATCTTTGGGTCGAGCACGATAACACAACTGTAGCCCGTGCTCAAGTGATTTGGACCCCACCAGGAGCCATGATCTGATCTGAGTACAATCGTGGTGACACAATGCAAGCAAACTTTGACCAATATGGTTATGGGATGCGACTGATTCGCCACCGCGAAACGGATAGCGATTCTGAACAGTGTGCTTTGCGTTGCTCCATCATGATTTGCATTTATGTTTTTCTCATTTTTCTCTGCGAATCTCCATGATGAAGTTCTGAGTGTTTTCCTTAAACAGTGTGGACACACTAGGGGTTCTGAGAGTAGAGGTTAAGGCTGGGTTTGATAGAGGGTGCTCCGGTCTCCGGCATGCGTGGCCAATTCGATGCTATTGCGGCACATTCATGCCTTTCGGGTCTTCGAAGTGCATTTCAATTATGCAGGCTTGCACAAACTGGTGGGCTGGAGCAGGTGCTTTCCTCGACTGCGCTCTGGAATCCTCTGAAGTCGGCTTTTCGTGGTAGGCGCAGGCGCAGGAGGTGTTCTTTGAGGTGTTTTCGTAGCAAATGCAGCACTTTGGACTTGGTCATGGTCTTTGATGTGTTCTGATTGCGTGGCAGGTGTTGTGAATCGTGAACTTTGCACATGTGGCTATAGAATGGCGAAAGCTTCGTTGTGCCATCTTTTTGGAAGTGCTTTTGTTGGAACTGGCAGGGCTCTGAGATGAGTGTTGATTGGCAGTGCAGATTTCGTGGCAGTCGCAGCATTTTATCAACGTCCATGTGCAGATTTCGTGGCACGCACAGCACTTTGTGAACATGCACGTGCAAATTACGTGGTAATTTGTGAACCTTGCCGCACAGATTTGGTGGCAAATACGGCAACCTGTGACCCTTTTAATATGCATGCTCTCACATTAGGCAACGGATGGATGTGAAGGACATGAGGACGTGGAGGACACTGACTGAGGACGTCAAAAACAGCATCTCGAACTTCAAAGCTGTCGAACAGCGAGGGATCGGGGCAATTGTGCAGGCGAAGTTATTAAGACCCGAGTGCCAACATCAACATACTTCATAGACCATCATCAACCCGACCAACTACCAACAGAAGGGCTTTGGTTCTTCTTGCTTCCTCAGGCCGCCTGGTTGCGTTGCCAAGCAAAATGGTAGATCCTGTTCCACAAGCCAGTATTGGGATCGCCTTTGGAGGGCTCAAAACTAGCAAAATCAACACTAGCATCGTATGTATCCTGCACGGTCATTGCCGCGAAAGGTCCAAGAAGGCAAACACGCGACGAAAGCGCTCAAAGAAGTCCCGAAAGGAAAGAGAGCGGGTGTGCGGGAGAACAGACACCAGCTCAAAACCTATCAAAATCACCGTAAATAGCATGCTAAATTTCAAGAACTGCTTTGAGACCTCGGCGAGACGCATATTCTTTCTACCTTCCTGTGCCCAATCTATTATGTGCAATGTTAATGACAAAAAATTAATAGCTCTTCACCTGCCCACTATCAATGTGTAACAGTTTAACTGTGTAACTGTGTAACACCAATGATAAGCATTATCAGTTTGACTCTTCCTTGTTCAATGTCAATAACTGCCTCGTCATTGGTATTCATTTGTTCTCGATATCGATCAAAGCTGTTTGGCTTTGCGTGCTCATTTTGAGTGATTGATCTCAGATATGCAGACTTGAGCTTTAACACTCTCCCCTCAGCAACTTCGCCCTGATCCCAAAGAGCTTGTCTATTGTTCCAATAGATTTTACATGTTATGATTGCTTTAGTACCTTTGATGCCCTATTTCCTCACAAAGCTCCTCCTAGCCCTAGTCCAAACAGGCTTAGAGAAAAAAAACAACGGATTGTATAAGTAGAAACATTGCTCGTTGAGGCGCTTTATGTATATGTTCATAGCTGCCGTATGAATTTGGCTTTGTCTGGCATCGTGTCCAAACCAAGAGAAACAAAAACCATGACAAAACAACAAAAAAGAATATGATATATATATATATATACAACTTGTTGCTATGATAGAAATCAATCAAACTTCTTCTGCCTGGTCTAGCTCCTTACCTTCAAGCAAAACAACTTTACCAAGAAAAGGTTCTTGTGAAGATTGAAGCAGCCTTCCTTTCTGGTGCTCAATGCTAAGGCACATCCGAACGTGTAGAAAAACTTAAGCATAACAAATACAAACTAGTGGAGCAATAGAAACACCTACTGAGGCAGGACACCAAAAGAAATAACTTGTTGCGTGGATAGAAGGTTGCAACTTGGTCTAGCCCACTAGCTACTTTAATTAATGCGTTCTTTGATTTGGATCTTAATGCTCTTAAGAAGGAAATGCTTTAAACAAGCATAAAGCGAAATAACCCTTGTGAAGGTTGACGCAGCTTCAGTGTGGTGCTCAATTTTAAACGCATTTGATCATATAGAAAGAGTTAAGCAAGAACTGAAGCAATTGAAACGACTGTTGAGACTGCGAACAGCTTGCAGGGAGCAATGCTGAGGGAGAGGAAGGCGTTTTATCGACCCTGTCCGAAGCAAAGTGGCTCCAGTACTCGGCAAAAGCAGGCGTACAAACCTTGAAAACTATGCAACTGTGCCAGGAAAGAAGCATATTGAATAAAGACTACACAAATTGCCAAGAGTGCCTAATGTACTACAAAGGTTTAGTGAATACAAAAAAAAAATCCTTCAAAAAACATCAAAAATAAGTGCATTTTAAAAATAAGTGTATAGGGGTCTAGTGACATAGGAATTACGGTTCTAGTGACATAGTCAGTTGGGATAGCCACCTCCTGAGTCATGTGCCTGGTCAAAAGGCCTGTCTATATGCCTTAACCCCCCCTGAGGGAGCAATCAAAAAATAAATTTAAAAAAAAATATATGCTGAAATCAATGTGTCAGAGAGAAATCACATGCATCATGACATGAGCAGTTGGCACATTTTTTCAACATCCCTTGGTTCCTATGTCATCGTGCACGGTCGTGGCGTATTTTGGGCCACCTTTCCTAAGTCATGGGCTTATGGGACTTCGAGCTTTGGTCAAGAATCCACGGTTAGGTATCTTTGTTTCTGTCTTTCTGTCTTCGTCTCATTCTTACAGCATCCAGATGAACAAAAAAGGTTTCATACCAAAAGACTCTGGACTCTGGACCCTGGCATTTCCTGACCATCACTCACAAAAATGCCTTTAGCTCATTGAGCTGACCCTGCCACTGCTGCCAGTTTGCAGGGTGAGATGTATCTAGATACAACTGCAGAATGTGCCTTAGGCACAAAACTAAACACTTCAAAGGTGATTTGGTTGTAGACCAGGACGATGTTCGAATCGGATGTCCTGGGAATCTGGCCGACCAGAAACCTCCTGCCGGATGACGGCTGACTCCACAACCAATAAGTGGAGGCAGGTTGGTTAATCCTCCTCCAGCTTGTTCCAACTGCTGCCGCTCAGGGCTCAAATGATAAGTCTTCTCATGAGACCCCGCTCCGCCTTCTGCTGGACCTTCCGGTTCCCCGTCACAAATATCCAAGGATGATGCTTCTGAAGAGCTGTCATCTTCAGCAGCGGCCTCCTCGGGAACATCCACGTCAGGAGGTGCCATGAGGCCATCGCCATAGCCCTCATCATCCTGCGAAACCTCACCGTCCTCCCCACCATGGTCTGAGCCTTGCTCAGCAGCAGCATCATCATCTGCATCTTCTCCTGCTAGCGGATGACATGGGAGTTTGGGTGGGGTGCACATAGTAGTTGGATACCTTTTCTGCTACTTCTGTAGTCAGCACAAGTCCTATGTCAGGGGGCGGTGTGTCCAGAAAAAAACAACAATTGTAGATACAAATCATATATATATATATAATACTCACACTTATGGATATATATATATATGCCTACGGAACTGAATGACCCCTGTGATTACAAGGGGCACACACAGGCACAGGTCCTCCGTAATTCTCACGGAGCAAGTCAAAACCATTCATTGGAGCACTGGTGGCGATGCAAACGATCTTTTTCTTCGGGAAGTTCTGGCTTGAAAGAAAGTATGACCCCGGGCCGGCAATGTTGTTCTCATCGTCAAGCTCCAGGTGGATTCTCAATATTATGTGGCCAGTGCCCTTCCCCACAAATTCTGTTTTGCCATTGATCCTGGCTGTGCGCTTCTTGAGGAAGGATGAAGTGGCCATGCAGCCGTGTCTGGTGTTGTACACCAAGCTAAAGATCTTGCCGTTGAGAATCTTCATTTTGCTTTCCCACCCATGTGGTTTCTTTGCTACCATCACTTTGCGCTCCCGTCTGTGGGCACAAATGGCCCGCTCAGCGCCATGCGCGATGGCCGTTGGCAAAGTCGCCATGTTTCCATCTGGCATCTCGAGGGACCAATACCACCTGCAAACACCATGGTATGTCATGGCAGAAGTTCTAGGTCACTAGACCTCACATGTGTAGAATGAGCACCTGTCAAACTAAGGAAAAACAAAATCTGACAAGTCCTATGTCATGGCCCCCCCCATGTTTTCCTATGTATATATATATATATTTCAAATCCAAACACCTTCCCGGTTCCCTACAAGAAGACTGGCCTGTTTGGCTTTGGTGGCTCTCCAGCCATGTCATCAGCCACACCCATTGCCCTCAGCATACCGGTTGCATCTAAGACTTTGGAAGCTTCCTCAGGAGTCAAACCTGCTCCATCCTCGAAATGTTCTGACTGGAAGTATCCGGTCACGACCCATGATGCAACAAAAGCAGCACGTGGCACTGATTTCCAGGCTTTGAGTGTTCTCTCTGGCAAAGTGTCTTTGTTGAACACCTTTGGTCTGGCTGGTTGCCCGCTGGGAGCTATTGGCAATGTATCGTACCCTGAAGCAACGATGCAGCCACCGCTCAAAAGCTGATTGAGTTCGTATTTACAAGCACTGATAGATGCTTCATTCTCATGACATGAGAGTTGTGCAGTGCTGTGAATTGGGAGTTCATTACAAGAAAGAAAAGAGTTGCAGCTTACAAACAAGCAACGGGGCCGGTTCCGTAGGTCGCTCTCGCAAGCAACATCGTCTGCATCGACTAGCTCCAATCTTGCCCGCAGAAGATGATGGAGCTGATCCACTGGTTGGCCATTGGCCGAGAATCCCCCAGCCTGAGGGATGCATACTGCAGGTCAATGGGTGTCACTGATGACATGGGTGGAGAACCACCAAAGCCAAACAGGCCAGTCTTCTTGTAGGGAACCGGGAAGGTGTTTGGATTTGAAATACCAAAAAAAAATATATATATATATAAATGTTTT